GACACACCAGGGCCAAGTGCTGCAGTGGGTGACCAGGAGGAGGAGGAGGAGGAGGAGGAGGAGGAGGAGGAGGAGGAGAGCCAGCCGAGAAAGAGAAAGAGGGACAGAGAGGATGAGCTGCTTCAGCTACTGAAGGAAGACATGAGGTTACAGAGAGAGGATGGACAGGCTGTTCTCTCTACTAGAGAGACTGGCCGAAAAATAAATAAATCCTTAAATAATAATATATAATATTTATTAATCAATTCAAATAAAATAAATGTTAAATGATTTTATTTTCTGTGGTCTTTATAACTAACAGTATTTACAGCATATTTAGCCGTCGATTGCTCCAGCTGCTGTAAAAAAGGCTCTGTGTCTTGCCAGCCCTGCAAACCCACGGGATATCGGTTGTAACTCAACCTGGGTCTTCGGTAGGTGGATGACCTTGTGGCGAATGGCCACCACCTCCTCAGTGACTCTGTGGACGATGCGGTGGACAGTGGATCGAGGCGTTGCAAACACGCTGGAGACCACCCTGTACGATGCCCCACTTACCAGCCAGAAGAGAAACACCAGGGTCTCAATCGTGGCACCCCATCCGTGTCTCCGTTCCTGGTTTAGGAGGACCAGTAGCACTCCCAGGGCCTCCCTGCTTGATTGGCATGTATAAAGGAAAGGTGTGCGGGACCTGCTGTTTGGTCCAAATCTTTTTAGAACAGACTCCATATTTACAGATTTGTCCTGTAATATTTCCAAAGTAGCTGAAATCTTTGAGAACAGGACGGTTTGACTCCCAGGGTTGGAGCGATGCTTGCGAGGACCTCCTTCTCCTTCTCAGCTCTCAGTCTCATAGCAGGAAAGTCGAGCTCAAACTGTCTCAGGTTGCCTTGTATCGTGGCAGTTCCATGTTTGAACAGGTTTACTGTTATTCTGCTGGTGTCAGAGTCATTTTCTTCCAGTACACTTATTTTCCATCCATTACAAATGCCCGCTCTCTTTATTTCTGGGTAATGAGAGCTGAACACATTCAGCCAGGCACATGGTTCATCCATCCAGAAGAATTAATTGCAGGATCTTCCATCTTTGTAGTGGTCCAGGAACAGGATTTCTGGTCTTTCTCTGAGTAATGTTTGTTTAGATTTTCCTCTTGCAGTTTTGCTTTTGTTAGCTGGGGGGTAGTCGATGGTTTCAGAGTGTGGAGACATCATGAAACAGGTGCTGTTTGATGCTGTTGCTAGGTAACCACAGTCCAGTGTTAGCTTGTTAGCTATTAGCTCGAGTGTTTCAGTTGGGACTTGTTTTATAGTAATAAATGCAAAAACGTACTGATTTCAGTGTCCAGCAGTTTGCTGTTCCTTGCTTGAGTCCCTCTGTCCTCTTCTGTGTTTGTTTCTCTTCAGCTTGATGCTGTTTCTGAGCTCTTTCTTCCAGCTGGATGTCGTTTCCTCCTTTGTCTCTCTCTCTTTCTTTCTCTCTTGTGGCGTATTGTGGTCACTCCTTTTACATTTCCCTCATAAAATCTGGGTGTTCATCATATTTTGGACTGATTACAGGTGTTTTATTGATGAGCAAGCTTTAAACAAGACTTCTTAAAAACAACTGAACTTTTCTCTCCCTCCCTCAAGAAAACAGATTTCAGTTAAAACAGTTAAAAAGAAGTCGATGCAGAGTCGTGTTTCTCAGGTCCCACTGTTTGTCATCAGGTCAGGACACGAGTTCATACATTTTATTCCCAAGTGAATATAAGAGTTTCTCTGTCTGTGATGTTTTCAAATTCAGGGTGTATTTTTATTCTGTTGGGAAACAATTTCTTTCTCAGAGCCTGGTATTTGAGGCCTGATGTGAGGAAGTGCAGCTCTGACAGTCACAAGAGACAGACGAGATCTTTTCTACCTGGTGCAGTAAACTTATAAACAAACTGATTTGCACCTTTCTGGATAGAGAGCATATTGTGCACTGTGTGTATGTGGTGTTTACTGTAGTGATGTGATGTGCAAAGATGTGTGGCATTGATGTAACAGTGATGTTGAATATGTCTCTATCAAGGCCTTCGCAACCTTATTGTTGCAAAACATACTGATGGCACTGGTTACAGAAGAATTTCTAAACTTCCAGTGAGCACTGTTAGGGCCATAATCCGGAAGTAGAAAGAACCTCATTTCACCAGAAACTGGCCACAACCAGCTGCTGCTTGCAAAATTTCTGACAGAGGAGTGAAAAGAATTATCAGAAGAGTTTTCAAAGAGCCAAGGAGACTTGTGGAGACCTTCAGAAAGACCTGGAACTGGCAGGTACAAATGTTCCAAAGAAAACAATACTGAACTGAACCACCATGGCCTGTATGCACACTCACCACGCAAGACTCCGTTGCAGAAGAAAAAACACGTTGAAGCTTGTTTAAAGTTTGCTGCACAACATTTGGACAAACCTGTGAAATACTTGGAGAATACAGTCTGGTCAACTCTTTGGATGCCATACTACACGCCATGTTTGGAGAACAAATGGGACGTGTATTTCAACATGTGGCACAATGCGGTTGTGGATTTATGAGTTGAGTGACACCATCTGCTGGGTTACGGTCGCAGTTAAATGTAGGCCTCTGCTAACTTTGTAGCTAACCTCATGTGTTCAGTTTTGTCTTTTTGCTCAAAAGCTTTTTTCCCCAAAGAGAAAAGAGGAAGGAAAAGAAAGAGAGACCCTGATAACTGGAAGAAAAATGTCCAACAAAGGCTGCTTAACACAGGGCAAAGCTGGGGGACCACAGTTGGAAATTAGCTGTAGAGGCTAAAGCTGCTCTTTTTATCAAAAGGGACTGTCCACAATATTATAAACAAATAAACTAAACTAAACTAATAATCCAGATGGAAAGGTCTGTCGAGTCAGGCAGGGAAGGGGTTTTTGATCAGTTTTGGGCAACGGGAGATGTGGCACATCAGAAGGACATCATTATCAACGACAGGGACTAAACTGAAAAAGAGACAATTCAAAAGTCAAAGCTGCAGATCACTATTGAGTACCAACTCACCACAAAGGGAAAGCAAATTTGAGAATGCTTTTTGAAAACACTTAATATCTCAGAAAAGTTTGCAAGGTCTGCAGGCATCGGTCAGCCAGATAATCTAGGCACGTCTTCCACAAGCCTGCAGGGAAAGTATTCACCTGGAAACCAAATCCCACAAGGTCACATTAGGTCTTCGCCCACAGTTGAATCCCACTCAAGTCCTTTTCATCCCACGTGGTCCGAAACTAAACCAAAGATGCAGAGGGAGAAACCGTTCGTTGACAGAAAATCAAGAGGCTGCGCTACACAAGTTTTAGCGCAAGTAAGAATGTAAAAGGATGATAAATAATTGATAAACACTTGATGATGCTAAATTACCAACAGTTTTTAATACCATATGTACTTTACCTGACAAACAGTATCAGTATAAAGTCTATTACTGGTATTACTTAATTTATAATTATCTGGTTTAAGTAGTTTTTTGTGATTGACCTTGCTTTGATGTTAAAGTAATGGTTTGATTCTAATAGGACAAGTTTGATGATATTATGAAAAAGTTTCTTACCTTTGGTTCAGCTGAATATGTTCTTCTTACCAGCTTTGCAACATGGACTGGAGCAAGACTTTCAGAGTGGTGAGTTATTCATTTTTTGTTTTAACTGAGCTCTGTCTCTACGTCACAGTTAGAACTTTATGTCTATTAGCTGCCTGGAGGGTAACTAGTGTTTGGAAGGGAGAGGAGAGGCAGCAGGCGGACGTCTTATCACTAGCTGTCCATCATTGTTTTTTTATGCGCATTTTGAAGTATCGCATTAGAAAAGACTTTAGGTGGTTCTTGCCTTTGTCGAAAAAGACTTAATGCGCTAAATGGGAAACCGAAACACTTTTGCCAAATAAGAACTTGTAACTCACGCCTGATCAGCTGTTTTTTTTTGGTTTTTGTTATTTTTAACCCTGTCCTGCCCAGCAGCCTGGTATAGAGTATGATGAGCTGGATACCATATTGTGCCAGACAGATTTTACTTTAACAAGAGAGTATTAAAATACTCCTTTGTCTGTTTTATTATTTATCTAATTATGTATTGATTTGTCACCGGGCCGGACAGGGGGGCAGACACGGGGATGGGGGGGCACAAACAGACAGCACAGAGAAAGGACAAGACCTGCAAGAGAAGAGGGATGGAAGGTGGGGACAACAGGGAAAAGCTGTGGAACGAAACCTGCAATAGAACAGAGAGGGGGGCTTGGGGAGGAGAAAAACAACAACAAACAAACACAAACAATAAAAATAATAATAATAGTAAAAGACAACCAGCCGAACAGCAGCAATAAACAGCTGACATAGTAAGACAACTAAGAGAAAAATGAAAACAAGAAACAGTCACACACACTAAATAAGCAACACAACACAGCCACGAGAGCTGGAATAATAATTAATTTAAATAAGTAACTGAAAGAAAAGCATCAGGAATAATTCTACCAGGGACAACCTACGTTTGTTTGTGTCTGTGTGCGAGACTGTGTACATGTGTGTGTCTGTGTGTCTATGTGTGTGTGTGTGTGTGTGTGTGTGTGTGTGTGTGTGTGTATGTGTGTGTGTGCATAAGCCTGTTAAAGAATGTAGTTGTTAGTGAGAGTGGGACGCCACGACTGTGCCACAGTTACCCCAGCAACAGGCAGGCAAGAACCCCAGTAGCCAATAGGGGTGGGAGAAAGAAAGTAAATAAATAAATCAAAATAACAAAGACTCCCAGATGCACCGCGATGCAAACGCGGAAGATCAGCTGTTTCTGCTGTCGCCGTGTTGCCGGATATTCCCATAACGCACGGAGACATGAAACACATTCCTGAAAATCTCTCTCCATTTTTCTCAGATCCCTGGTATATGCGACTGGTTTAGTTTGTAGTTTGGACTCATACGTCCTGTTTATTACAGCTATTTGTGACGTCAGCTACAGACATTTTGCTTTAGGGCTTTTGCAATTTGCAAACTTATTACATGCACAAGAAAGGTATATAAGGCAAAGGAGAGGGAAAAAGCCAAAAAGCATAATATGACCTGTGTTTCGCCTGCTCAACTACATGATTTTACCATTTTAATATATGATGATATTTAATATATTTAATTTATCATTGAACATCTATAATTTTAAGAGAAGTGAGGAGAATGCATTTATAGAAATAGGCCGGCAGATATCCTCTGTGTTCATGTGTGTACCATGTTTGGTGTGATATATTTAACCAGACCATTACAGAGTGACTGATTGTACCTCGTCTGTATGGACATTAGAGATCAACCAATCCCAGCAAATATACATCATGAGCTGTTCTGTCACATCCTGTCTGTGTCTGTATATAAGTTGCAGTTTCTGGTATTTTGAAAAAGCAGAACTCCGGTCGACGCTGTTTTGCTCTGTTCTTTTTTGCTGATTGTACTTTAATAAAAGACACTTTGAGTAAAGAATCTCAAAGATTATTTTTCCTCTCCTCCTCCTCCTGCTGCAAGGTAAGGTTCTTCCACACTGCCACACACTGAGCCGAGGGCCACACTGGTCTTATTCTCTAGATCTGGAGTTTAGGAACTCGTTCCAAGTTGTGTTTGAATACTCCCTGATGAGAAACGCGAGAGGAACGGGGGACGCAAGGAAAGTCTGGAGTTAGACTTCTGGTACTGAGGTAGGCCAGAACCTGATATGGAAACTAGCTTGTTATCAGGGACCATTTTACATTTACTCATTTTGCAGACACTTTTATCTAAAGCGACTTACATTTGAGGAACATACAAGCATCAACAGAGCATCAAATACAGCAGGAGATCTACAACTGACAATACAGAGCACTAATAAATACTAAGAGCTATTAGCACATCACATCAATGAGGTAGATACCTAGGGAAGGAAGTAAGAGTTAACAAAAAAGTGCAATCAATACAAGATCATTGTAGGGGATAGAAGAAGAAGAGCACAGGAAGTGCATGTTAGAGGTTAGGAGTTAGAGGTGTTATAAGAGGAAGTGTTCTCAGAAGAGATGAGTTTTCAAGAGCTTCTTGAAGTTAGAGAGGGACGCCCCTGCTCTGATGGCGTGCGGTAGCTCGTTCAACCATCGTGGTGTCACAGATGAGAACAGGGACTGGGATCGCTTTGTGTGAAGGGATGGCAGAGCCAGGCGGCGTTCGTTGGAGGAGCGTAGCGGCCGAGAAGGAACGCAAGTTTGTATTATGGAGTTTAGGTAGATGGTGCAGACCCAGTAGTCACTCTGTATGCAGCATTAGTGACTTGAATCTGATTCTGGAGGCCACGGGGAGCCAGTGGAGGTCACTGAGTAATGGAGTGACATGAGTCCTTTTGGGCTGATCAAAAACCAGACGCGCTGCTGCGTTCTGAACCATTTGTAAGGGTTTCATCGCACAAGCTGGAAGACCTGCTAGGAGGGCATTGCAATAGTCGAGGCAAGAGACAACCATGGCCTGTACCAGAAGCTATATATAGAGTTATATAGAGCAAAGCGGCATGACCGAGAGACAGCAGCAGCAACATGGTCTGAAAAGGACAGCTGGTCATCAATCATGACACCCAAGTTTCTCACCACCCTGGTTGGAGTGATGGTTGAGAAGTCAATTTGTAGATTGATGTTAAGGTGGATAGATTGCTTGGCTGGAATGACCAAGAGTTCAGTCTTAGAGAGGTTTAGTTGAAGGTGGCGAGCCTTCATCCATGCAGATATGTCCGAGAGACGGTCCGTGACCGAGACGGTGGGTCGTCTGAAGGATAGGATAGGCCTCACTCTATCTTGTGTAGGATCTGAACATAATGCGCCGAGGTCTTTGGGTGGCGACCCGAGAGAGCCGGGTTTCTAGGGGTTAACACGAGGCTACGTGGCGCCCGACAGCGTGGCTCGAGAAAAAACAATAGTTGGTTGTCTGTACACAGGCAGGGTGCGAAATGAACTGTTTTGTCCACCAGCCAGTAAACGCTCAAAGTCTACCACTCAGTAGATTACCATTGTTTTTAGCTGCTGATGAAGTAAATCTAGCAGACATTTGCATATTTTACCAGTAACTGGCTGGTAGATGGTGCCATGTTTTTTTCATTGAGTTAAACTACAAGAAGCTAAAGTGTCTCTGAGATATTAGAGGTGTCTTGAAACTGAGTAACAAAGCAGCAAAAGCAGGCTGCTGCCCTGTGCAGGGGGGACTGAGCCTTGTCCTGGAGTAAAGCTTAAGAAAACCTGCAAGAAGAGGATGTTGCCTACAATGTTGTGTATCCACATAGTCAAAAATAAATTAACCTTAATTCTGTATCTAATGTTTAAATATACTGCAAAGATGAGTATGTATCACAAAGTTAGCATATAGAATTATTTGATAGAATTGCAAAATGTTTTTCACTTTGACAGAAAATCTAATAAGAGAAATCATCTAAAGATTATTCTTAATTTTATTTCTTTATTTTTACCCTTAAACAAATCAACTCATAAGATAATATTACTTAAAGTAAAATTGCTGAACACATTGCTAACGTCACCTTATAAACGTAAGTTGCTCTGTAGTTGCTTAAACTTATTACTTAACACAACATTATTATCATGGAGATTATCATGATGTTTTTAAGTAACTCTTAGTCTTTACTCTCACAGTAAGTATATCTTGACAGTGAGTTTATATCAAAGTTTATTCCTTGCGTATATTTGATTATATGCATTGTTAAATAAATGAAATGTTGTGTACATGGTGATCATGATTTCTAAATGTTCTGGAAATGTTTGGAAATACTTTATATACTGTTATTACAGAGTATTTAGAACGATGGAAGATGACTTCTGCTTTTTAACCCTTAAAGACTAACCACAGGAGCCTTCCACTGAAGACTTACAGGAAGTCAGCCTCCTGCCAGCTGAGACCACAGAGTGATGTTAGTTGGTTATGATGAAATCGGCTCTATAACATTTACATTTATTCATTTAGCTGACGCTTTTATCCAAAGCGACTTATAATTGCTATACATGTCAGAGGTCGCACGCCTCTGTAACGAGGGGTTAAGTGTCTTGCTCAGGGACATAATGGTGGATGTCTCACAGTGGGAATCAAACCCAGGTCTCCAACACCAAAGTCAAGCATCTTTTCTATGCGCCATCACCACACCCTATAAAATGTGTGAAATGTATTAACAAGTGATGAACATTATGTTTTAAGAATGTAATAAGGATGGTAAATAATTGATAAATGATTGAGGATGCTGGATTACCAACAGTTTTTATTAACAAATGTCCTTTTCCTAAGAGTATCAGGATACAGAAAGTGTATTCCTGGTAGGGTTAGGGTCAAACCGGGGTTGACTGGAGAACCGGGGTAGAAGTACTGTCAGAGATGAGGTTGATTACTGGCAGGTGTGGCAGGAAGAGGAGGAGGCTGACGAGGTGCAGGTGCGGGTCGTTGGCTCAGGAGCAGAAGGAGAGAGAGAGACACGGGCAGGCAGGCCAAAACACAAGGGAAAAACAGGATCACAAGAAATAAAAAGGAGAAAAAAACAGGACACTCACCATCAGCCGGGCTGCCACCACAACACTCAACAACTCAAACTTTGCACAAAATTCAAACATTGTGGAAATGTACGTGTCATATGTTTTTCATCTATGGGCGTGGCAAAATGGCTCGCGAGCGCCCCCTAAAAAGCAGCCCCTGGACCATGTTTCACCAGAATGTACGAAATGTTTGTGGCAGATGAATATCTCTTCATGTAGGCCTTCATTTCAGCCTCTGTCTGAACAAGCTGTAGATGCTCCTGTCTCTTTAAGCCCCCCCCTTTCAAAGCCCACTGTCTTCTGATTGGCCAAGACCTGAAGCATGTTACCAGGCTGTTGTTGTCGCTGGGCAGAACAGGAGGACTGAGCCGTTGCTGTGGGATCAAATGCCCATAAATGGAACAGCGGCTCCGTCTGGCTCCATATGACGTATTACGAAGCCATTGGTATAAAAAGCAGCTGAAAACAGAGCGTTCACAACAGGAGGAAATCTGAGGTTTTTGCTCACAGTGATTTCTTATAAATGCTTTAACCTCATTTTTTGAAGCTTTGGCCATGTTTAACATGAACATCCAACATTATAACATTGTAGATAAGTCATAAAATGAGGAAAATATAATAGGTCTGCTTTAACAAACTCCTCCCAGAGAATTAATCCGATGGAAGTCAAAATTCCGCTGTGCGATCTAAAGGCTTAAACGCTACGACAGTTCAGCTCTGTGAAGCTGTATAATCCCAGTTACGTTAGCGATCCGTAGAGGAAGACATTGGGTTGTCTTGCTAGTTGTTAGCCGGCAGGTCCGTTCAGTCTTTTGCTGTGTCGTGTTCGGATCGTCCAGATGAGAGGGTCTGGCCCTTCGTCTGTTCTCCTCAGAGTTAGCAGCTTGGCTAACTCAGCTGGTGGCAGGGATCTATAGCGGGACTTTATGTTCTGCTCCAAGCGGGCCACGCTGGGAGGCCGCTGCGCCGTCAGGTTGGCGGCTTCAGCCGTCACATCCAGCAGAGAAGAGAAGACACCGACGCTGCGTTGCAGTTTTTATTAATGAGGTGACATCATAGGTCACAGGTCACCGGCCAATCGTAGCTGAGAGCTGAGTGACTTCATCTGTGAGGTCCCTGTGATCCCAACAATATGCATCAAGTGTTTGTTCCAGAAATAATGTCAGAACAAACACCAACAAGGAAGAGTGCACAGTCTGTCCCCTGTCAAGTGGATTAATCATCATGTAAACCTCCTGATCCAAACTCAGAGGGCAGAGGGGCATCGAGTACAGGAGACAGGCAGGATGTCCTAAACCAAAGAGCATTAACATTAAACATTAATTAGTGAAACAGCTGGACGATGTTCTGTGGCTGCAGTAACGACCTCACATCAGCACGTACAGATATTTGTTCTTCTTTTCTTATTTGATTAAATAAAAGTTAAATGTGACAAATGTTGAGGAATGATGATAGAAAGTGAAAGACAGCAGTTTGTGATTTGATATGATTGTGGGTAAACTATAGGTACACTGTGTTTGTGTGAACTTCACCTCACAGCTTTAGTGATGTCACTGAACAATGTTAGGTAGATATTAAAAACCTGCTCCCTTTAATAACCTGATCTCTCAAACAGGTTTCACTCTGAGGAATGGAAGGTCTCTACGTTACCAGCAGCTCACAGAACCAAAGCTACCATTACAACAACACCAACTTCAACTGCCATTATTACCACAAGCTTGATGAGTATCTCAAAAAACTTTGTCTCATCTTCGATGTGGTGAAATCGTTAATTGCTGCTGTCGGCCTTCCTCTGACCCTGGTGGCCATCTATGCTCTTTATTCTATGGTATGTACATTCTAACTGAGAGTTATTTATTTCCTGTCTGTGTTGTGTGTCTGTCCTACAGTCTGTCTGTCTGTAAAGGATCTGGATCTGGTTTGGGGGCTAGGTGTCAGGGGGCTGGGACAAAGGCTTGCAAAGATCTATAAACTTACAGGAATAATCTACTCCATAATTAAAATGTACATGAAGCTGATTGGACCCTAAACACATGCAGTTTCCATGTGTGGCTCCATTCCAGTTAAACTGCAGAAGCTGCAGGAAATCTGGCCCTTAGTCTTGTTCCTGCAGTGATTGGCCAGTGGGTCATATCTGAGATTTCTGTTGGATGAAAAAGTCAGAAATGGCTCTGACTGCAGCTGCTGGGCAGAGCAAGATGACAGATTTGGGAGGAGGTGGACTTCACAACATGTTTCCAACTGCTTGTTGACTTTTACCAATGTTTTCCTGCAGGTGAGAAGTGATCATGTTGCTCCCATCTACCTCATCAACCTTCTCATTAGTGACTTGATTCAGTTCTGCTGCATGATCGTTCAGGTGGTACCAAATGTGGATGAGAAGATCTCTGAAATCTTCTCTCATATTTACATCTCTGCTCTGTTTGCCAGTGTTTACTTCATGGTCTGCGTCGCCCTGGGAAGGTATCTATCTGTCTATCCAGTATGTGTGGAGCTCCTTCTGTGTCTGAACATTATATTAGTTTATAACTCTGAAGCTCCTCAAAGACTTTGTGTCCATCTTGTATTACAGGTATTTGGTCATCGCCCACCCACTGTGGTACCGCTTCAGACGAACCATCAAGACCTCTGTGGTGGTCTGTGTCCTGGTCTGGGTCCTTACTGTTGTCTGTTTCATCCTTAGATATGTCTTTTTCAACTACTTATATTCTCAGTATCGGGTGAAATTCCCAATGGTCGCCGCCATCATCCTCCTCATTCCCTTCCCTCTGTTAATATTCTCCCTGGTTGGGACCCTCAAAGCCCTGTCTGCTTCCATCTCGGTCCCCTCTGATGAAAAACGACGAATTGTGGGAATTTTGCTTCTGGTGCTGCTTATTTACACTCTGCTGTTCCTGCCCAGAATCATTTGGTTCCTGCAAGTAAACTATGACCTGACCCTCGACCTCCTGTCTTACATCTTTGTTAGGTTCAGTCCTCTTGCAGACTTGTTCCTGTATGTCTTCATGAGGAAAGGGTTCATAGACAAGCTTTTGGCCTCTGTGTGTTGCTGCAGAATGGACAGCAATGATATCAGCAGTCCATCAGTATGAATGATGACAACATTTCCACAGTCAGCTTCATGTAGGCAGAGAAAGAGGGAGAGAGAGAAAGGGGAGGAAACAGGAGGAGAAATGGAGGCCAATAGAAAGGATAGAGACGAGACAGATCCTGTCATCTACTGAGACCATTTCCAATAAGACACCTAACTGTAGAGAACAGGAAGCACTGTTTGGACTCTGCTGTGGGAGAAGTGGCTGCTGGGAAATGTTTTGGTCAACTTGCTCTGGTTCGCTGTGATGGCTTCAACACATGGAAATAAAATGTGTTTTATTAGTTTGGAGCTGGAAGTTGATGTCTGTCATTATTCTCCTTTAATCCCAGAAGCAAAGCAGATATTATTTTAGATGAACTGAGCTCATTCTAGCCGCCTCGCTGTCTTCTTCCTAAATCTTTATTTGGACTGTTGTTTGGATGTTTAACACAGGGAGAGCATCTCAACGCGTCTTTAGCACTTTGTACTTTTTAAGTGTAATTTCTGCTGTTTTAGTGGTAGGCATGCTGCTGTTTAGGATGGGATTCAGAGCAGCTGTTTTGCAGCAGCTGTTGTGTTTTTGGCAATCTGGAGAAAATCTTAAAACACAGTTTATGTCAGTTTATGTGAAATTGTACTTTTTCTGGAAATCCAATAAAAAATCTGTTTGTAGACCAAACTGTGAATGTTTGTCTTTGAGCAACTCAGTGAATTAAAAGCTGACAAATGAAGGTTCAACAAAATCTCTGCTGGTTGACAAATCTCTATTGTCTATATGAACATAAAGCCCAACCTGCTGTTAGCAGGGAGGCATCCTGCACTTTCTGACCAAATGAGGTTTCCTCACAACTCTTAAAGCTTTCAGACTTTTTTAGATAATAATTTGGGGCAGAAATGATAAAGTGTGACAGGGACAGTCACAACAGATTAATATCTAATATGAAACTAAAACTCTGTAGACGGAGGTCTGGTGAGTAATTGTTTATTAACAAATAACAAAAAACTTACAGTTCAGTGGTGAAGGTGGCAGTCTGAGATCAAGAAACAATAATCCAGAAAAACAGTGAGCACAGACACAGGAAGTGAAACAACACAAGGGGAAGAAAAACTTCAAATTAAAACAGGAAACCAGAAACACAAACATCAACAACATCAACTTGATTAATATAATGTATGTGTGTTTTCAGACACTGTAGGAGCCTATAAATCTCCTATGTGTTCTATGTTTATGGTCTCATTCATAATATTCACTGCATCGGATTGTAGGTGGTGGGCGTGTCCACCGGGGTTTGGGCGGAAGTGATGGTGGTCTATTTGTTTGCTTCACCTGTTCACCTGTGTTTTTTGGGGTTTGACAGAGAGAGGGGGTGAACCTGGGAGCGAAAACACTTTCTGTTGATCGCACTCGCAATCACACACTTTCGCACTCACACAGCAATTTTTATGCCTTGGTAACTGCAGTGCCAGTTATATTTTTTTATGTGTGAATATTTTAAGTGTAAATAAATGCTTGAACTTAGATCGTCGAGTGGAATTCAGTTTTTGCACATCACAGTGTTTTCAGTCTCTCAGTGTTTCCCCCGCGGCTGCAAATTTTGTTTTGCTTTATTTACAGGCGCTATATTTAGTCAACAGAAAGTATTAAACCAGAGTGTTGTTCTACGGAAACGAGCTGTTTATCACGGATTCCGTGGTTCACAACGGGACGCACGGAAATGTTTGGAGCTCGGCTGTATTGGATGGCGGTTCATTCATTACCGACCCGGCCGCAATCAACACAGCAACTGATGTAGTAACATCAGACACGTGCTAAGGGGGGTGCAATGGGTGCTTGAGCACCTGCCCTTTTGCCCTTTGCTGTTGTGGATTGTTGCAAAGAGAGCAGCACAATTGTTGTGTATATTACTGTGTGTCGCCTGCATGTAGAAGTAACGTTAGCTGCCGGCTAACACGCCGTCAGCTAACGTTACTTTTACACTATAAACAAAGGTGTTCACTTCGTTCTGTTTGGGGGAGAAAAGTTTCACGGGCATCGAGAGGTCTGATCTTTTCTGTGTAATTTGTCTTAAATCTTGTCACTTGAACTAGGATTATTACAGTAACTTAAAAGCCTTGCACCTTAAAATAACCCAGCAAGCAATAGCCGTCATTTCACCGTCTAGGTTTACTATAGATTTGATTAGTCTGGCTATGTGTAACCAACTTCTAGCCGCAATAACTTTACATGTGGTTACATGACGTGTTTGTATGATATTCCATCATTTAAGCAAGGTCTACAGTGATTACTAAGTATTTTGTTTCATTTCTTTCACATGATTTACACGTGCGTAGACACGATTTAGCTCGTAGACAGACTTTTAGTCAAAAAAGTCAAAAATGATTAAAAGTGGGTTTTCGCCCTGGCAGCATGTGAGATGGATGATATCCCATTATTTTTGCAATGTCAATAATATCGACAAGCTATTAAGTGTCATTAAATTGACATGGTCTATCTGTAGCCATGATTTAGCTCTTCTTTGGACAGGCTACATGTAGTCTGCTTTTAGCCCACCCGGCGAAACAGAGGCAATTAGTGGTCTAATATCAACGGCTTGGCTGCAGCCCTGTTTCAGACCAAATAGGTTACATGTAGTTTACACCCATGCAGCTGTTGAGGTGCGTGACATCATATCATCAAATGCAAGTAAATGTTTGAAACATTTAAATTATCTTAATTTTCGCTGTAACCCCAACAAACAAAATAACGTCCCCAAAATGTCCTGTAAAGGTCCTCTCTGAACGTCCCTTAAACGTCATTGTGTAGGGTTCCCTTTATGTCGCGGGGACATTATTGCGGGACGTTCCCAGAATGTCCTCGGGACGATACAGCGACGTTATTGTGGGACTTTTGCAGAACGTCCTCGGGACGTTATTGTGGGACTTTAGCAGAATGTCATTATTATTATTATTATTATTATGTTGCAACTACCACCACCACCACTGCTACTAATAGCAGAAAAAATGTGGTTTATATGCTTGGTTTTCTCAAAAGCTAAAAGAAATACATAGAGTCCAGATAACCGGCCAAATGTGCCTCTTTTATTTCCTTCACAATGGCAACAGCACATACATTGTCTCATTAAGTCCCATGGATGGTTACATCCATTTGGCTACAAGTGCAGAAAATGCTGTCATTTGAAAGCACACAGTATATTGCCCTAACAAAAATTTTAGCTCCTGGGATACTGACACTACTTTTGTCATTACAGTATATCAAACAAATCTCCATTAGTGTGACAACTCAACCTCCTGCTGCAATTGCAAAATTACAAAAAATGTCCACTGCAAATCTCCTTTTGGCTACAGATAGTCAAACTCTTAAAAATAACTGGTCAGACATTTGTGACATCATGTTTCTAAACAAAACCAGTGAGGCTTGCAAATTTGTTTGCTGTGTTAGTTATTGCTATAAAGTACAAAGATTTAGTAATTCCAAATATCAAATCAAACAATAAAACCAAACTCTGAAGCAATAAATAACGTTGTACCAACCCCCTCCCCCCCAAACACTGGACCTGCTCTATATGAAATCAGCAGTGAAATAACTAATAAAATGAAGTTTTATTCAAATCTAAACAAGTGTTTCAGACAGCATTAAGGCTTTGCCTGAAATGCGTAACAGCTTCCACAACAGATTACAAAAAACGGAGAATCAGTCACTCAGCAATGTACCCTTCCCACTGGGTTCCCCTTAACCCTCGCGCTTCCCCTCGGGTCACAGTGACCCCCACCGCGTGCCTCCGCAACGCTACGGAGCCACCGGCAGAGGTCGCCAAAGGCGCTCGGAGCGCATTCGCCCCAGAGGCATGCGGGTGGGTCACTGTGACCAATCGCCGGCCTTGCCGCCTTTGTTACCCCGTTTGCGCGGAAACCAATCGCGGGCCTTGCCGCGCTTTTCCCGTTAGCACAGTGACCAATCGCTGGCCTGTCCGCTCGTTTCCCTCGAGCGCGGAGACCAATCGCTGGCCTTGCCGCGCTTTTTCCCCGCTTGCGCGGAAACCAATCGCTGGCCTTGCCGCTCTTTTTCCCCGTTCGCGCGGAAACCAATCGCTGGCCCGTCCGCTCGTGTCCCTCTAGCGTGGAGACCAATTGTTGGCCTTGCCACTTGTTTCCCTCGAGCGCGGAGACCAATCGTTGGCCTTGCCGCTCTTTTTCCCGTTTGCGCGGAAACCAAACGCTGGCCTGTCCGCTCGTGTCCCTCTAGCGCGGAGACCAATCGCTGGCCTGTCCGCTCGTTTCCCTCGAGCGTGGAGGCCAATCGCTGGCCTCTCCGCACTTTTTCCCCGTTTGCGCGGAAACCAATCGCTGGCCTTGCCGTTCGTTTGTCTCGAGCGCACTTTCCCCGGTATAGCGGAAACGGTCCCCCCTTTCCCTTTCCACGTATACTATCTCCCCTTGGGTCACATTGACCCGAGATTCGCTTTCCCTCGAACGATCTCCGCTGTCATTCGCTCCCCCTCCACTCCCCTCCCCACTCCGGGTCACTGTGACCCACCGAGATTCGCTTTCCATATCTGTCCTCTACGGTTCCCTTTGCAACGTGTACTATCCGCCCTCCGGGTCAGAGTGACCCACCGAGATTCGCTTTCCCTTCGATGATCCCCGCTCCGGGTCACTCTGACCCACCGAGAGTCGTTTTCCCTCCTACGTTGCCACCTGTCATGTTATCTGCCCTTCCATCTGCCCTTCGGGTCACTGTGACCCACCGAGATTCGCTTTCCATATCTGTCCTCTACGGTTCCCTTTGCAACGTGTACTATCCGCCCTCCGGGTCAGAGTGACCCACCGAGATTCGCTTTCCCTTCGATGATCCCCGCTCCGGGTCACTCTGACCCACCGAGAGTCGTTTTCCCTCCTACGTTGCCACCTGTCATGTTATCTGCCCTTCCATCTGCCCTTCGGGTCCCAGTGACCCACCGAGATTCGCTTTTCCTCTTACATTGCCACCTGTCATGTTATCTGCCCTTCTATCTGCCCTCCGGGTCACTGTGACCCACCGAGATTCGCTTTCCATATCTGTCCTCTACGGTTCCCT